CCAGTTTATAACAGGCCACAAGATCCCCCCTCAGCCTTCTCTTTTGAAGGCTGAACAGGTTCAGGTCCCGCAACCTTTCCTCATAGGACCTACCCTGCTGTCCCTTGATCATACGAGTGGCCCTCCTCTGGACCCTCTCGATGCTGTCCACATCCCTCTTAAAGTGCGGCGCCCAGAACTGGACGCAGTACTCCAGCTGCGGCCTGACCAGTGCCACATAGAGGGGGAGGATCACCTCCTTGGACCTGCTTGAGATGCATCTGTGGATGCACGAGTGCAGTTCATCCCTACTTAACATGGGATCCTTAAACCCTTGAACTTTTAGCTATTAGCTTATATCTATATCTAAATAACACACACACACACACACACACACACACTCTCTCTCTCTCTCCCCCTCTCTCTCTCTCTCTCTCTCTAGGTCCAAATGATCTGACCTGGATACCCAAACCCCCAAATGCCTTCCTTTTTTAAAGGAGTTAGGCTCTTTATATCACAATTTTTCTAATAATTATTCATCACTTATTTTCACTACTTGAGTTCACTATTCACCTATCTGATATTAACATTGCCTCCTAATAATGTAGTAGCCCACTGGTATGTAATTCTGAGACGCTACTCACCGGTCACAGAGTCTGTTTTCATCAACCTTCTGGCACTATGGTACTCTGTTCCACTGTTAATTTTTAGTGAAACAGTCCTGACAGGAGCTGGGTTGTACAGCCAAGGAGACAAACTAATGGAGGGTGGAACTCCACTGGAATTCGTTGTCAGTTCTAAGTCTCCGTTTTGAAGAAGGCTTATCAGGAAATGGTTTCCTTACTGGCCAGCCAGTTTCTAACTGTTATTAATCCTTTTGTCCTTATAGCAAGCTCCGAGTGCCCCAGGTCGTTATGTTCAGTAAACATTGAGAATGGGAGTGACTCTTTCCTTTTCACTTTACTATATTCTTATAGGGGAGAGGTCAGCCTTTTGAGGCTGTCCCCCTTGCCCTGTCAGTATTTGACTTCCCATTTCCAGTAACCATGCCACTTTGTTATATGGTGGCTCTTCAGACCTGAGTCATGGGCTGGGCTGCTGCTTCCTCAATGAGAGCACTGAAGAATTTATTTTGGATGGGGAACAGTCAGAAACTAGGCGCACCTATACATGAGCAGCAAGGCTGCTCTGATGTGTTTCCGATTACAGCACATCGGACCAGACGCAATTAATTGAGTCTGCTACTGGAGCATGGTAATTACTGTGCTTCAGACTCCAGCGTCTCGTGTATCAGTATCCCCATGCTTAACAATGGTGACGGGAGCACTTTTTTTTAAAAACTAAAGCTCGTTTGAGCTTTAGTTAAGGAGCTCTTGCTGCCATTAAGCACGGGGGCACTGATACACGAGACTTCCCAGGCACTTGAATTAGAGAGGCTTGTGGAACCACCCTAATTAACACCCCGCCTGTCCCACCACTCCCAGACCGTGCGTATAACTGCCCTAGCAGGCTGGAAAACAAAGAAGAGGGAAGTGCTTAGGCCTCAGTTGAGACCTCAATGCTTTTATGCTTCCTCATTCCAATCTGTGCTGCCAGTAAGGAGGGAAGGGCTTTAATTTACATGAAGTAGCTCTTCAGTGTCCCCATGGAGATGCGAAGGGCATTATTCATATTGGAGAAATAGGACTAAGTGAGGCAAAATGGAGTCTTGGGCCCCAAGTCATGAGAGCATGCTAAGTGCAAGCGTGCTGTTAACTGCCTACTTATGGCCTACTGATTTTTCTCATGTGAACGTGCTTTGTTTCAAATGCGTACCAGTGTAAGGCTTGATTTTTAGAATGAAAGTGGCCTTTAACTCTTTTTTGCTGGTATAATTTATTCACTAGTATTGGTACCTTGTTTTTGTTTGTTTGTGGTTTTTTGCTTTTGCTCCTTGTTACACTGGCACTCTTTCTTTCTTTCTGCCCTGCACACAGCAGCCTGTAAAGGGGGAGGTGTTTGATGTGAGGTTTTGACTTCCTGAACAAAGGATGCCTGTACATGAGCTGGGAGGCTGCTACAACATGCTGTAATTCCAGCAAGTGCCATGCTCCAGTCTGCCTTCGTGTCTTGTATATCAGTGTCCCTGTGCTTCAAAATGGCAATGGAGATGTTTTATCCAAAATTCATTTGAGCTTTAGATAAAGTGCCCCCACTGCCATTTTAAAGCATGGGATGCTGATACATGAGACACTCTGGATGCTTTAATTAGAGTGGCTCTTGGAGCCACTCTAATTAAAGCACCCCTTCCCAACCACCTCTGGAGCATGTGTAAAAATGCCCCAAATGGATAGCTTGAACTGTCAGCTTTGATTTGTGACTTTAAGCACATACTTTTTAAGACACTTGTGTAGAAGCTGTGCAGTAGACAAGAAGGTTCTGCCATGCTTCATACTTCTGAACTGCATTTTTACCAGCTATAGCCTGAAGGGAAGTGCTTTTCAATAACTTTGCTAGCATTCATCTTTGAGCAGGGGGTTGGACTAGAGGACTGCCTGAGGTCCCATCCAACCCCAAATTCCTATAATTCTAAGTATGAGGAAAACTTGGGAATGAGGGTTAAATCTACTTACTAAAACTGAACACAGTACTTTTAGCCATAAGGTCTTTTGTGACTCTTGCAGAGCTACCGGTTCTTAAAAAGTGAGAGAGTATTAGGAAAGATACTTGAAACAGTAACTCTTAATGTGGGGGTAAGAATGTCCTAGTAAAGAAAGTAACTTGTGTCTCAGCTTGGCCAGATTGGCTTTTGTTACAGTTTATGCTGAAGAGAGATTTGAGAGAAGGCTAGAGCTGTTTCCTGGAATAAAACTTGAAACCACAAGCTGCCGCCTGGGCTGCCCCCCTCACTATTTTTGTCTACTGGATATTGCTATAGGGACACAATGTAAATCTTTGTCCTAGGTTACAAATTCTGACCTGCAGGGCAAAGGCTGGGGCAGAGCCAGCTGAGGGAGGGCTGAAGCAGAAGTACTCTAGTGACTGCAGGTTTTCCAAAGCCATGAGCCCCCATGGGCTCAGGCCAGGCACTGAGCTGTGTTTAGTTTGCACTGGAAGAAGCATTTGGCCCTATCCCTGTCTGATCATTGACTAACTGAACAGGAGAGGCAACCAGAACAGGACTTGGACCCTATCCAGTACAGGATACAACAGAGGCAGCAGCAAAATTTGCATGAGCTCCAGTTCCCGTTATGTTGAACTCCAGCCCATTAGTTATGCCTTGAGGCATTCAATTAAAATGTGACCTGAGCCTTGCGTGAGAGCAAGTGTTGACTATTTTGTCATGACAACGAAGGGACGTGTTTTCCCTTCATCTCTATGGGCAACTGCTCTCTAATTCCCTCTGCACCACAGGCAGCTGTGTCCTTCGTACCCACCTCCAGTCCTCCCCTTTGGAGTAATGAACAGAGCTAGATATGGAGTCCTGAGTTCTGGACTCCAGGGGTGAGTACTAGTCACTTTCCCCCAGGCATGGCATTTGCACTTAACTCGCTTGATACGATACCTCAGATCTGAGGCAATTGGAGGCAAGGATTAGCAACCACAGGGGTTTGGGAGCTCATTCTGGACACTGAGCTGAAGTTCTGATAAGGGGGGCAGTGTGTGTGTGTGCATGCATGCACACTTCCACACAGCATGGAGGGGATTAGAACACAGTTTATGTGACTTGAACGCTATACCAAAGCAATTGTTTTTGGCAAGCCCCATGGAAGACTTAGGCCGGAAGTTCTGCCACTTAAAGCTTATGAACCTAGACTTCTAGAGAGCCTTCCCTGGTAGGGGCTGTATCCCCTTCCTCCTTTCACCATCTTTAATGAAGCCTGGAAGGGGAAAAAAGCTTTGCACTTACTTCAAAGTAGAAGATCTGTCAGGGTTGCTGCAGTTTGAAGATAGTAATGTGTCCCTTTATTCATGAAGGAGGATCATGCCAGGGGTGTGTGAATGTTGGCTGCTGTTAGCTTTCTCCTTGCTCTGCCTCTTTTGGGTCATCCTTCAGGAGGATGTGACCAAAAATCTACATTGTGCATAACTTCCTCCTCCAGACCTTACAGCCTGCTTACAGAGCAGAAGCAGACTATTGGGGTTTGGTAGTGGCTTCAGGTACTGCTGGAGATGTGATAGCCTGTCCTTTCTGCTTGTTGGCACAGAAATCTTCTCATTGAGGGTGACTATAATAACCATACTTGAATTTTTGTTTCTGTGACCTGAAATTGAGACTTTCAAAGTATTTTGAATGCCTGAAAAAGGGGCCCCTCTTAATTTCAAGTTGAGTTATTTCCCTCCCCGCAAATCACTAGTCAGTTTCAAGTCTCAGGTTTTGCTTCCCATATCCTTGGCTTCCTTCGTGGATTCTGGCTGGGTCCTTTTATATCGCACAATGTTCAGTCTGCCCACATAAGGCACTCAATTTGCTGGACAAAATTAGCAACGAGGGGAGGAAAAACATTCCAAAGCACTTAATTGACATTTAAAATTCAGTGGCACTTGGGCTTCTTGTTGGGTCACTTAAGATAAAATGTTCCAAAAGCCCTTTGTCGCAAATTCATGAAGGCTATCCAGCTTCTCAGAGGCCTGGGCCTGAATCCATGTGGACCACAGGCCCTCTCCCTCTCCCACCAGGCTGCACAGTGTGGATTCTCCCGCTGCACATCTGCAATGCTCCCCCAAGCACATGGACTCCTCTGTGCTCTGCCCAGGCTGCACATCACATTGTTTCCCCAGTGTGCCCCATCCCTCACCTTGAGCTCCCACCACGTGGCAGGTTGCACCTCCAGATGTATATAGAAGGATCCTGTGGCTATGACTTGAGCATTGTTCTGTGTGGTGGTATCAAGTGTTCTAGGCCACTATCAGAAGTGACTGTTGAGTTGTCTTGTATATTAACTGCAAATCTAAAGACATAAGTAAACTTCAGGGTGCTGTGTGTGCAAACCTTGAAGTGTGAAATGTGAAACTAGAAAAATAATTCCTACTTCATGCAAGATTCATATTGTGGCCTTGAACCCATGCAACTTGGGAGTGTATTTAATATTGTTTTCTTCTCTTATCTCAGGATTGACCCAGATCCCACAAGTATTAAAGACAGAAATTTCCTTTTCTGCCTCTGATTCTAAAAGCTATGAGATGTATGTGAAAGCCATCAACAAATTCCTACTTACATACAGTGATGAACAACAAATGGGAAATGCTGCATTTGAGGACTGCGGTGGTAAGTGCCCTTGAAGATATGGAGTTCTGATCGTCTCCCTGTTGCTGAAGGATCTCTTGTTAATCTCTTAACCATCTGTCCAATGCTGGTCATGAGTTGCTGGTGATGCTGTACACTTAAACAGCATCCTCTCTCTAGTCGTTAACAGCATGTTGGTAAACATTTGCCTCTGAAATGGACTCATAGTTTCTCATTACAGTAGTAGTTCTCATAGCAGAAAGACCAGGGTCATGCCAGAGAGAGTGGAGCATCAGTGCCAAACTGAGAAGCTTATAGGTGGCACACCTGGTCTTGGCCTTACTTGCTTTCCATCCAAGGCAGTGGGAGACCTGCTGACTCCAAAGGGAGCAGAATCAGGAGAATGCTGGAAATCCTATCCTGTGCAATCATTCTGGAATTAAGAGCTGTTGTCACAACAATGTCCCCATCATAGCGTCTAAATGCCCTTAAAATACTGTTCAGTTACTAGCTGAACTGCATCACCTTGTCTATGTGGCCTGATGGGAAACTGTTCAGAGCATTTCCTCTAGATGTTCATTAGCTCCTGCTGAGAGCTTTCCTCCTCCTTCCTTCTATGCTCTAACAGGCCCACAGCGAAGGTGAGAGCTTGTCACCCAAAAAACCTCACTAAAACAGTGATGTGACCAGATCATTTTCCTTTATTGAGAGAGGTGGCAAACCTGGGTTTTGGCCCTAACCAGATCTGAGACTGGCTTTTTGTAAATATAGCTGGCATTAAACAATATAAAAAGCATCCCTTTAATGAACACTTGCCAGCTTATATTCTCTTCTGTATCCAGCCAAAGTGTGATCTATGGCTGGGACTTGGTTGTAGGGTGATCTTAAAAAGTGGTGGTGTTGTTTTTTGGGGTTTTTTTAAGAATAATCACTCTGCTCCTGCTTCTCATATGCCCACTCCCATTCCTGCTCTTTCTCCTGCTTATGTGTGTATGTACACACCTTTTTTTTTCTTTCTTGCCCTGGTAGAGGTACCCACTTCATACAAAGACAGAGGAGAATATAAGGAAGGTCAAGGTCGGAAGAACGTCTGCAAATTCAAACGCGACTGGCTGGGGAACTGCTCTGGAATACATGACCCCACCTACGGGTACAAGGATGGCAAGCCATGCCTCATTATCAAGCTCAACCGAGTTATGGGCTTCAAACCTAAGGCAAGTGCTATGTATGTTTGTGTGTAGTAAGTTCTTCTTTCTAATATTAGGACTGGTGGTATGACTTGCTGATCTAGGAAAAACACTTAGAACTTGGCTCCAACGCCAGGGTTCTGCAGGGCGAGGGACATGAAAAGTTCACTTGCTTGATCAAGAACTAATGTAGCTTTACTAGCAGAACTCCTGGTGTGGATGTAGCTCTGCCAGTAAATCTGGTGTAGTCCAGAAGGGAGATGACTCCTGTCAATGGAGCTGCACCCACTCCAGGGAGCCTGGCTGCCTGAGTGCTGCTGCCATAGGTAAAACAGCAGCTATCTCATATTTCAGACTTAGCCACAGTCTTCCTGACTCTACTTAGTAATCTGCTGATGGTTTTTTTCTTTGTTTTTTGGTTTTTTTTATACGTATACTTTGCGGGTTTCAATAATGTTATTAAACACTGTTTAAGGCCCTTCAAAAGCTTCTATGGAAGCGTTTTGTAAATTGCTAATGAGCCGCAACAAGCTCCCATATTAATTGCTCTTCTAGGTAACTTCCTTGGTCCCATTGGAATCTGCTAATTGTATTGCTTTTATAATGTGTCAGCTCTTAAAGTGGCACAAGATTTGTCGCCTTCACATATACTGCTACACAACAGTGGCTGTGCTACAAACAGACGTGGTTCTTACACCAATCTGTTCATCTGTCCCCTTCTCCCTACCAGCCCATGGCATGCAATATTTATTCCCTGTCAGTGGAACATGGCATTTCCAGAGCTGGTGGTGTGAGACAGTGTGGAGGAAGAGAAGTTTCAGGCCAGCTCTATTGTTTCTATATGGAGAAAGCTTTTAGGCCTGAAAAGTCCATGAGATCATCTCATGGTGCCCACATGCAGCATAGACAACTTGCTTTCACCTAGTTATTCCCACTTGGAGCCTAGCAATACTGAATTTCAGAGTAAGCATGTGATACTGAATGATGGAAAATTGTGAGCCTTGGGTACTGGGGGAGTGACACGCATAGGATGAGGGTTTGCTGCCTAGGGGGAGGGCAAATGCAAATGATACAGAAAAGGCAGTCCAATGTCTGCATGTGGCATTCTGACAACCAGCAAAAAAGGAAAAGTTGGTGGTTGGTGAGCAACTTGTAAGGAAATACTCCCAGTTGGATTTTTTTCTTGCCTGAGAAGGATTACCATAGACCAGTTTTAAGTCATGGCTCCTCTGGTCTAGTACCAAAGATCGTCAGACTTGCCCAGAAATTAGGTACTTAGTCCTTTGAGTTTATTTTGGTGCCTCAAATGCATTTAGGTGTCTAACTCCCATCTTTCTGAGGAGATGAGGGTGACACAATCCTACTGTACTTAATCTGCTTGGTGAACACTATCAAGGATAGAAGGATGGCAGCTTGGAACCCACTTACTTCTCTCTCTTTCTCTCTCTCTCTCTCTCCCTCTCTCTCTCTCTCCCTCTTTCTCCCGCTCTGATTTGGGAGGGCCCTGTCAAGGTTCATCTTTCTTACTTTACCATGATTTGAGCATAGAGGACCACGTGTACACATGTTGGTTCTTTCCTTTGTTGGAAGAGCCCAATATCTAATTTCAGGTCACTTTGCTCCAATGTTCTGGGCTAAGTGACTCTGGGGCAGTGGGTCTCACATACTGCCATAGTAAGTACTGCTTTCTTGGGCACCTACTGGATGCCTTCTCTCCTCACCTCCATCTTATACTGTCCCTACAGCAACTTTGGAAGTTGCTGATGGGGACAATTTAGCTGCCGTGTTGGACTACTAGCTACATCATCTTCCCAAGTGGTGTGGGCTTTCAGTTGGGACCTATGTCTTCATAACATTCCAACTTTTAAGTCACTCCTCAGCATTATATTCCTGCTAGGAACAGCAGAACTTCCAAGGCACATGGTACCAGTCAGTTGCACAGCTGTTCCTAGTAGCAGCAGTAGCTTGCTTACCTCTAAACATTTCCTCAGACCAATTTGGGAAATTCCATCCCAGCTCTTTTACCCCATTGTTGAGGCGTAGCATTGCTAGTCACCACTTCCATTGGGAACTCTAGTTGTAATCTAGTGTGCTCTGTACAAATAAAAGGTAAAGCCAGCTGTGGGGGGTCTCTGTGCAACTTGACCCTTTAGGTGAGAGCTGTGCATGCTTTTCAAAGGTGCTGTCTTGTCCCTGTGCCATAACAAGCATCACTGAGGGGCATGTGATCTCTCATCACTTTCTCTTTTGAAAATTGCAGTAAGGTTTTCCTTCCATCCTTCTATATGCCCTACATTAGTACTAAATGGTCCATCTCTCAAAAGGACCCCGTGGCCACATCTAGTTAAGCGCCACAGACCTGTCTGCGGTGTGGCACACTGCACATTCAGGCATTCTCCGTGCTACCTTGCAGCTTGGGGGAAGCGGGGAGGGGTTGACTCTGAGAGATCCCAGGGTCACAAAAACCCACGTAGGGAAAAACAGCGGGGTGGTGCAAGTGGCAGCAGTGTGCACCAACCAAAACCACAGCCTAGCCAGCCAGAGCCACAGTCTGGCAACTGACCAGGCTCTCAGCTGCAAGAGCACCATGGCTGCAGCTTCCCCAGCCCCTAGGACCCCAGGTAAAGCTGCTGGCAGCCTTCCCTACCCCACCCAAGGTAACCTGCCATGTGCCACAGCATGCATGGCACAGGCGTTGCCTGGGGACAAGTAGCAGCGGCACAAGGTCTGCTGCTGCTACTTATCCCTAGGCAAGCAAACATCCATGCTCATCTGGACGTGGCCAGTTTGTGTAACTTTACTGAATCTGCCAAGGTAGGCTGCTGAAGGTGACTTGCAGGCTTTATCCCCTCGGACAGGTTCCTAACTCTCATAGAAAGCCTTTGTCTCTCAGTCAGTAAGAGTTAAGCATCAATTTCTTTTTGAGGATTGAGGTCTTAAAGGTTTCTGTGGTGTAGACACAACTGGGCTCACCTGCATTCCAGTAGCGATTAGACTGTGCTGATTCAGAGGCCTGTTTACATCTCAAACGATGATGAAATGTAGTGATGCCCTGAAAATTGCTACTGATGCAGTGCTTCAAAACTATGTGACCTAAAAAGAAATCTGGGTCAGCCTGGCAAGTTAGCTTGTATCTCACACTGAGCTTTACAGCCAGAAATTGAACCTCTGCGAGCTAGTCTTGAACCTCAGGAAGATGGGGTGTGTTGGGAAGTGGGATATAGGGATTCTGGGAACAGTCTTAAATGTGTAACATTTCCCTGGTTTGGCCTTCTCTTTTAGCCTCCACAAAACAGCTCCCTCCCTGAAGACCTTGTAGGAAAATTCCATGAGAATATCATTCCTATCCACTGTGCTGGCAAGGTAAGTGGGGAAATGCTACAGAGTAGGGAAAGGCTGTCTAGGTCTCTTGTGTTAAATTTTGGACAGGCAAACAGTTGCTTCCTCTTATGAGAATCCAATATCTTTCAAAATGTGGAGTGGAAATATCAAATGTTGGTTCTCATCAGTCCATTGCAAAGGGTAGACTAAGTCAAATTCAAGACATGCACCATCCTAATTTTGCTTTTGCATTATGACAGATTCACAAGGTTCAAAGCCATGCTCTGGGGGTGGAGGAAATTCTAAATTTGTACTGTTTTATTCTAGGCATGAACAGAATTTATGTTTGCCTCATTCCTGAAACATGAGCCAGCTCTAATTGTCCACTCAATTACTTGCCTTTCTTTGGCAAACAGGTCCAGTCCTTTATACTGGGAATATCTTCCCATTAGGAACTGGATTGAGGCAACCAGCTCAGACACTAACCAAAGGAATGGTGACTGAAAACAATCACTGACCTAATCTGCTTGGAGAAGGATGAACTGGAAACTAAAGGCATCCTCTCAAGCTCTTCAGCCAGCTAGTTCTCAAAAGTAGAGGCTTGGTTGCAATATCTGTTCCTAAACATATGGAGCTGTTCATACAAGCAATGTGTGGAGACCAGACTGAGTGGCAAAAAGTTCACTTTCTGAAATATTTCCAACTCTTAAGAAATAGCATGTTTCTTGTCAACTTTTCTAAGCCATTTTAAAGACCCAAGGAAGGATACTATGACACTTAAAAGCATATCTAAATCTCTCCCAGCCATGTAGTTGGTTCAGTAAAAGATACCACTCACAAACTTGTCTCTTGCATATTAAAATCCCAGACCTTTCTTGTGCGTAAAACTGATGCAAGTGGTCAGGGTGGAGCAGTGTGGATTGTACCACAACAGCTCAATGGTACAAGGTGACAACAGAACTGCTGAAATTGTAGAGAAGTACTTCTTAAAAAGAAAAAAAAAAGAGTCATCCTGATGTCAGGTATGTTTTCCCAAACAAATTCTACTCTTTTTTTTTTTTTTTTCCAGTTTATCTAGACCTATTCACTATCCCTTAGGACATGAAAATATTCTGTGCAATATCCAGAATGCAGACTGCATTCAAGGGCTGAACAAAATTCAGTTGCTCAAAGATCAGTGGTTGGATATAGTGCTGGAATTTGCTTGCAAAATGGTGTTTTACTTTTTTTTTTTTTTTTCCTTCCTCACCCTTTCTTTAGAAAGAAGAAGATGTGTCTAAACTAGGCACAGTAGAATATTACGGGCTGGGGGGATTGCCTGGCTTTCCTCTACAATATTACCCATACTATGGCAAGATCCTCCAGCCAGATTATCGCCAGCCCCTGGTGGCAGTGCAGTTCACTAACCTGACCTTTGACACAGAAGTCCGCATAGAGTGCAAGGCCTATGGTGAGAACATTCAATATAGTGACAAGGACCGTTTCCAGGGACGCTTCGATGTTAAATTTGACATAAAGAGCAGCTGATCATAAGCACCATTTTTCTTTCCCATCCTCCTAGCCATTTAAAAGTTTAAAATAAACAAAACAAAAAAAACCTACTAGTCTTGAACAAACTGTCATACGTATGGGACCTACACGTAATCTATATGCTTTACACTAGCTTTCTGCATTTACTAGGTTAGAATGTAAACTTAAAGTGTAGCAATAGCGACAGGAATATTTAAATATTTATTCTACTGTAAATGACAAAAGAAAACAATTGAGCCTTGGGACATGCCCATTTTTACTGTAAATTATGATTCCATAACTGACTTGTAGTAAGCAGTGTTTCTGGCCCCTAAGTATTGCTGCCTAGTGTATTTTATTTAGTGTACAGTACTATAGGTGCATACTCTGGTCACTTTTTTTTCCAAGCCATGTATTGTATCTGTTTTCTACTTTCTGTGAGCAAAAATGTTGGTGTCCAAGGTGTAAATACTCCATGGGACTAGAACTGGCATGATACTCTAATTTTTTTTCCCCTCTTAAACATAAAGGCCCACCTGTGAGACTATTTAACAGCACTCCATAGAGCCTTCTTATTTTCCTGTAGTGTTAGGGTATTCTTATTTGGAGGGGTGGCAGGGAAAACTAACTTAAGTAACGCTAAAAGAAAACTAGGTGATTGTGTACTGTGCTTTGTAGCGAATGCTGTCTCTTTCCACCTTTCCCCTCATCTTCCAGTATGTTGTGTGTGAGACCTGGGTCAGGCTATCACTCATCAGTGGTAGGAAAAAACTATTTTGCTTTTGTGTGTATTCTCTCTCTCTTTCTCTCCCTTCCTCCCCCGAGGCATCACACAGTGTGGTGCTAATGTCTTTATTGAATGTTTTAACCATTTTCATGGTGGAAGAATTTTATATTTATGCAGTTGTACAATTTTATTTTTTTCTGCAAGAAAGTGTAATGTATGAAATAAACCAAAGTCACATGTGTGAAAATAAATCTTTATTTTAAACTTTATAAAAGCAATGCAGTACCCCATAGAATGGTGTTAAATGTTGTCTAAAGTGCAAGCCTCTATGTTCTAACATTATGTAATAATAGCCAGGAGTACAGTGCTCTTGTTGATCTTGTATTTCAGTCAGGTTAAAACATTGGAGAAATAAATGAATGAACACACACACACACACGCACTTCTTTGTGGCTTTTTTTCCTCTTCGGGAAATGAAACCATAGCCGTTTGTCCATGTTCTGCTGTTTTATTTTAATTGTCAAGAATCTTGAAAAAATACTGAACCTGTTTAAAAAGAAAATTTTAGTCAGTTAACTTCACTAAGGCTGTGCTTGGAAAAGATTTAGATGGTGCTATTCTTTGTCTAGATAAAATGTAAAGTCAAGAATGTTCCCTTGGATCCCAGGATGTTCACTAGATTCTGAAAATCTGGCTGTATCTAGTCATCTTGAAAGCTTTTGTAGTTGAATAAAGCACAAGTCATCCTTGTTCACCCTATAAAAGCTGTGTTTACTACTTTCAAAGGCTGCACATAGTGCCATACCAAGCATAATGAAGGAGATCTCCCTGATGCTCAAAAGTGAACTTGCCTTTTTTTAAGTAGGGAATGGCAATAAAGTGAATTTGAAAGCTTTTAGCTCTATTACTCTCAACAGAGCACAGAACCAGCTTTGGTTTTCCTAAAGTAATGGATGCATCACTGACTTTTACTTTGGGTACTACTGCTGACTTAACTGTTGCATACTAATCTAAAGCAGCAACTCAGTGGCGGTATTTAATAAGATGGCATTTTTCGTTTTTTTGTCACTGTGCATGTTATGTAATATGAGATCTGCTACTATGTCAAAGCCCAAACTTCTCAAATCCCTGATGGAAACAAATAACATTTTAAAAAATAAGGCCAAATTGTCATCTACTAGAAGTCAGACATCACCACCTACTCAGGAGCCTTTACTAGAAAGTATGGCATGGACATCAAATCAAATGCTGATTACTCATGGTTACTTCAGACTTGAAGGCATAAAAGTGGTCCATTTGTGGTTCACAAGAACAAGGACATCCTTACTTTCATCTCTGAAATAGTGTTTCTGCTAATCAGGCTACTTCTATCTTTGACACCTTGGAGTTGGAACTGAGCACTCCCGAAAAGGGGAAGGAAGGCTGGGGTACGGGAAGGCAGGGAGAATCTGGGAAGGAGATGAGATCTCATAACCTGATTCAAAAGGATTAGAAGAGAAAGAAAAGTACCTTTGCAAAGCCAAGAAGAATGGTCCAGATTTCTTATTCAGCCCATCACCCCAGAATCGGACACTCAGAGTAAATCAGTGATGCAATGAAACAGCATTTGTTTCCAACAAGAGAGCACTGTGACTGTCTATTTTAAAGAAACTAAAACATACCGCTTTGGAGCTGGCCCATTAATGGCCAACTGTCACCCATTAGACTAATGCTGCTGCTTAGATAGCATAACTCTCACTGAAAGCATGCTCGGTGGAACTGCTGGAGAGGCAGGACCGTTTGCTGGGTACCAGACATCTCAATCTTACATAAAAACATTCTAGCCATGGCTAAGCAAAGCAAAACATGTGGCTGGAACCTCGCCCCTACCTTGTCGCGTGTTCAGGGTGCACATTGTAGTGGCACACTAAGAGTCCAGTCACAAGCTCTATTGTGCTGGATCCTGTACCACACAGGGACAGTCCCTGCTGGGTATGCTACTGGAACAGATCCCAAGCAGGCGCTGACTAAACAATTCAACAGAGAAAATGCCTGCACTGGGAAGAAGACCTGATTGCAATGTGGCCAAGGATATGTACATACTTATAACATGTTTCCAGTGAGACACAGAAGATGAAATGCTGGTCTTTTTGAGATGAAGAAGTTTTGCTATTGGCCTCAAAGGCTGCATTCACATGTGCATGGATGTTTGATTCCCTGGGGAGAACTAGCGGTGACACACCTTGTTCCACCGCTAGTTGTCCCTGGGGAACACCTGTGCCCTGTGCCCTCTGGCATGCAGCAAGTTGCCCCGAGTCAGGTAGTGGAGGCTGGGGACAATATTGCACTGGCCCCAGCAGCCTGACCTGGGGGTCCTCCTGGGGCTGCAGCAGCGGCAATCCTGCCACGTGGAGCCTGGCTGGCAGCTAGGACCCA